CTCCTCCTTGACTGGAGGCGGTCTGAGAGTCAGGCTGCAATGGCTCCTTTTAATGTGGCCTTTATGGCACTCCTAGCACAGTGTGGGATCCGAGCCAGGCGTTGGCGGCACGCCCAGGTGCGGCTTCGGCCATGCCAGCCTCCAAATCTCTACTGTGTTGGTTGAAATCCTGGTTATTGTTGTGTGGACCAGGGGGTGTGGTGGAACGCCAAGGTGAGGATCCGTCCGAGCCATCCACCTGCGGCCTCCCTCGTCTCCGGTCTTTTTGACTCTGTCTTGACACCGGGCCCAGGCGGGGGAGGAGGAGAGAATGTAGGTAGATGCAGCGCAAGTCTACCGGCACTATAAACCCCTGCGTAAGTCACCGTCTCTGCTCCCACCGCTGCTGCAGCTGTGGGGCACACGGTGGACATAGTCGAAATCGACGGTCGAACTGTCGGTTATAGGTAAGATTATATAAAGGCTTAAATAGCAAAAATAGTCCCTTTTGTAACTGATGAAACCAATAAGAGCCAGGGCATGTAAGCTCACAGCCTTCCCGGTAGATCAGATGTTGGCGGTCCAAGGTTATAAATCTCCTTGTAAAAAATATTGGACGGATTCTATTCCGTTCGTTCAGTAATGTGCATGAGGTTAAATAAAAACGAACAGTATTCCAGGACAGGTCTGACGTACGTTTTGTAAAGGCACATTATAATATCGCTAGTTTTGAAATTTCGGAGGATAAGCCCGGTCGTTCTACGTGCTTTGGAGACTATCAAGCACAGTGCTCCGATAGGTAAGACTCTTGGATTATGATACACCCAGATCCTTAATAACTTCAGGTACACTTATGTCGGGACCATCAATACTTAGTAGGGGTCGATGGTCATCGCCAACCACCATGACTGAGCACTTATGTCAACAAAGCGACAGGCGCCATTTGCGACAGCACTGGGCAAAGGCCTGTAGGTCGCTCTCTAGGAGCTCAAGCATGAAGTCACGATCTGCCGGCACATATCTATATGCAACTTTCAGATCATTGACATACATGAAGGGTTTACAATTCTGAAATAAATCTGTCACGTCGTTTTCAAAGGGAAAAACAATAGCGGACCACGTACGCTACCCTAAATGACTCCATTCCTCACACACGTGGGGTTGGAGATAGTATTGGAATTCTTAACTGGTTGTGTACGATCGCCCAGGTAAGAGGATGCAAAATTCAGAAATTTGCCACCTGTTGAGGAAAAAGAAAGTTTCAAGAGAAGAAAATAATGGTCCACACGATCGAAAGCCTTACTGAAGTCGAAATAGACTGCGTAAAGCGCAGAACCATTGCCCCTAGACTGGAGCACATGATCGAAGAAAGAGAGCTGACAGATGTCACAAGACCGAGCTTTGAGAAGTCCATGCTGAGCAGCACTCAGTAGGTTATTCTCTGTTAAGTGACACATCATCTTATCTTTCATCAATATCTCTAAGATTTTCAAAACGGCTGGGGAGTGTTTATTGACCGAAAGCATCAAATAACGTAGATTGTCCATGCTTTGGAATAGGCAAAATATGCGGTCCCTTCTACAAAGTAGGACAGATTTCACTTCCAAGAGCGCGATTAAATATCTTGCGTAAGAGGGATGAGGAAATTACATTTGCATCCGCTTCTGAGATGCTAATTAGGACACCATCATTTCCCGGACCATGAGATTGACGAAAACACCGAATTGCTAAAGTCACATCCCACAGGGAGAAGGTTATATTTTCGATAACGGCCCCGGTCCATGCCTGAATGCTCAAAAGCAGAGCGGTCAAGTTTTTAATAAAAATTTTTTAATGGAAATCACTGAAACTATCTGCGGTCAAGTAGGCGTCTGCTATAGCATTTCGAAAAGCGTCTCGGGTGATGCGATGCTTCGTTTTTACATGAGCTTTAACTTTCGCGACGTTCAATGAACGGTTTTCGGAGTAATGTACCGCTTCGGCTAACCGCTTTTCTTCGAGCAATCTCCTGATGCGCTCATTAATATCAAAAATCGAAGGCAGAGCGAAAATACCATTCTGAAGGCGAAACAGACAAGAACGTCTTCGCAACACACGGTGAAAGTGTAGAGGAAGCAAAACCTCATCCTGAAGTTACTTATTTTTCCACGGGGGACAAAACAAGGAACGGGCGGATTCACACTATTTTACAGTTTTGCAATACAAACATGTACATCGGAACTTAGGGAGAATTCAGTCCAGTCGAAGGAATTGAACTAAGTTAGTCCTCTGGCTTAAAGTCTGATGGGATTCGAAGTAGAGGTTCTATTTTGAGACAAAATTTTATCAGTATCAAATTCTAAATTGGAAACAACTATGTCGTTGTCTGAGCTGTCGAGTGGGCCAAGGGATGACGTTGAGAAAAGCATGAAGCCTCTACTGAGAATTAGGTTAATTATTCTTGATACTTGGATAGGAAAATGGACAACCCGACTCCCCATGCCAACACCCACAGCCTCAAGTTAGACTTCCAACTTTTGGCGCCGGAAGGTGGAGGCCAGTGAACTTCAGCAAGATTAAAGTAACCCGCAACTAACTTGTACTTTAAGTTTAACCCGGCGCGGAAGGAAATGCCCGTGAGGGACAAAGATCAAAATTTTCATTGGCGTTGGGCGGGCGATAGACACAGCCAACGAGAAAAGAGAACTTATTTTTTAAAGCAATTTGAAACCAACAGCTGCCTTCTGCCGCGGATCAATGTGGGAGTTTCCGCGGCGGAAATGCAAGTGTTTGCTTAAAATTGATGCAGCTTTCCGCACCACAGCTGTTTTTATGCTTACTTTGAATGAAAGTATAGCCTAGAAGAGAGATTTCGGAATTGGCTACGGAAGCTGTTGCCCATGTATCATTTACATAATATCTGGACAGTGGACGAACACCAGAGTCTGAAGTAAAATCAGAGTTCATGGACGAGAATGGTGCAAAAATGCTTCAGCAGAGGGTGGCCGAACGAAACCATGATTAAAGAGCGGCACTCGAAGCAGCACTAGAGAGTTAATCCCGTAAGCTGCCCAGTCCATCGTCATACAAGAACGAAAAACCGGTGCACAACCTATCGTCAAAGAGCTGACCGAGGAACAAATGTAGACGTTAAGGCATGAGACCTCATTTAACACAGTAAATGACAAACCTGCCAAGATGATTGCAGCAGTGGAGTCAATACTTAACCAGACGGAAGTGACAGATGAAATGAAGAGCCTTATTCAACGTCAAATATCATCCCACCTCATGGCGCCTACGCCGCGCAACGTGCTTTCCAAGGTCGAGCGTGACGCACCAAAGGGACTCAGGGCCGAAAGTGATTTCAGTATCGTGCTTGCGGACAAGGTGCGTTCCACAGTCGTATTGGACAGGACAGACTTGATTCAGAAAACCAAACGCTTGTTGAAGGCTCGTCAGTCCTATGTCTCATGCAAATCCAACCTCATGAAAACGCTGGCACGCAAGATCAAAGCAACGCTGTTGACAATGGAGGACTCAGGTGAAATATCCCCGATCGACCGACGCATGCGAGAGCGCAAGAAACGGACCTAGCTCGATTCTACTGCCTTCCAAAAGTGCACAAAGAGGGAACTCCTCTCCGGACAATCGTATCGATAAAAGGCACGGACTGGAAAAGTGACTGTTTCGGCACCTCAAGTTTCTGACCACCGATTCGAACAACACAGTCAGCTCGTCAAGGCAATTCTAAGAAAAACTTAAAGGAGTAAGTCCCCTGCCAAGCGTTGTCATGGTATCCTCCGATGTCACGTCCCTTTTTACTTCTATCCCACAGAAACTGACATTCGAGATCATCGAACTATTCTCACGAGAGAAATACGACGAAATGGGAAATCGCCTCGGACACGTCCAAATCATCCAGCTGCTGAAGTTCTGTCTCAAGACGTTCTTTAAGTTTGACGGAACAGTCTACAATAATAATAATAATAATTTATTTAATGCCAGTTTACAGGCATTGTCGAGGGAAGCGATTAAACACATATTCGACCAGCAGTGAAAAAAACTCCTGGGGTAAAGTAGTAAAAATATAGTTGATGGTGGTTTTTATGGTTTGAAGGGTTCAGGAGAAAAAAACTGCTGGCGGTAGATTTTTGACCGTCAAGAAGGGGGGGGGGGCGGGGCTGCATGCTATCGGAGATTATCAGACGTCAATTACTTTCATAAAGTTGGGGATAGTCAAAGTAGGGACGTTGAGGAACAGGTGGTTAGACCGGCCATAGTGTTCAGAGACCACAAACGCCATCGTTACGGTAGGGTCGATCAGTGGATTCAGAACCCAAAATTTGAGGAAGCTTTTCTGAATGCAAAAATCGAGTAATAGTTCTCTTAAATAAAGGATAAATTTGCAGAATTTACACACTCATTAGTAGTTTATTCCAAATAGCAATTGCATTTACAGAAAAGAACCGACGATATTTAACAGTACGTGCCAGAGGCAGAAATAAGAAGACCTCACGGTGACTGTTACGTCGTGGGTGGATATGATGTCTTAAAGAAGTGAGTGGGTTGAATGTGTGATTATATAAGAGTTTAAATAGCAAAAATAGTCCTTTTTGTAATCTACGGAACCATAAAGGATCAAGTCCCGTAAGCCGGCAACGTTCTTGATAAGACAAATGTCGGTGTTCCGGGGTTAAAATTCTCTTGGCAAAAAAGTTTTGAACGGATTCTATTTTCTTCCGCCCAGTATCACGCATGAGGCTAAATAAAAACGAACAGTATTCCAGACCAGGTCTAACGTACATGTTGTAAAGGCGCATTCTTATGTCCCTAGTTTAAAGTTCCGGAGGATAAACCCGGTCGTTCTACGTGCTTTGGAGACTATCAAGGCACAGTGGTCCGAGAGATTGAGACTCTTGGAGTATGATACGTCCAGATCCTTAATTACCCCAGGCACATTTATGGCGTGACCTTCAATACTTAGTTGATGTTGGCGGTCGTCGCCAACCACCATGACTGAGCACTTATGCCAAGAGAGAGCAAGGCGCCACGTGCGGCACCACTGGGCGAAAGCCTGTATATCGCTCTTTAGGAGCTCGAACACGATGTCATGATCTGCCGGCTTATATCGATATGCAACTTTAAGATCATCGGCATACATGAAAGGCTTACCATTCTGAAATAAATCGGGTACATCATTAACGAAAAGGCAAAATAAAAGTGGGCCGAGTACACTGCACTGAATGACTCCACTCCTCACACGTGTGGGGTTGGAGATAGTATTGGAAATCTAAAATCGTTGTGTACGAGTGCCCAGGTAAGAGGATATAAAATTCAAAAGATTGCCACCTATTCCGAAAGAGGACAGTTTCAAGAGAAGAAGAGCATGGTCAACACGATCAAAAGCCTTAGTGAAATCGAAATATACAGTGTAAAGTGCAAAACCATTGTCCCTAGATTGGAGAACATAGTCAAAGAAAGACAGTTGACAGGTGTCACAAGATCGAGCTTTGAGGAATCCTTGCTGAGCCGCACTCAGTAGGTTATTCTCTGTTAAGTGACACATCATCTTATCCTTGATCAATGTCCCTAAGCTCTTCAAAACTGCGGGGAGGGTGTTTATTGGCCGAAAGTCATCAAATGATGTAGATTTGCCGCGCTTAGGAATGGGCAAAATGTGTGATTCCTTCCACAAGGTATGATGGGTTTCACTTTTAAGAGCAAGACTAAATATCTTGCATAAGAGGGATGGGAAAATCGTGTTTGCATGGGCTTTTAAAATGCTTACTGGGACACCATCAGGGCCTGGACTATAAGATTGACGAAAACGCCGAATCGCAACAGTCATATCCCACACAGTGAAAGTTATAGTTTCTAGAACTGCCCCAGTCAATGGCTGGATGGTCGGAAGCGGAGTGGTCGAGTCTTCAATAAACGTTTTGGACAGGAAATCATTGAAGCTATCAGCGGTTAACTGGGCATCAACTATGGGATTTCTGAGAGCGTCTCGGAGGATGGGATGCTGCGTCTTTCGATGAGTTCGTATTTTTCTAGAGAAAAGTTTTGAGACATTTAACGAATGGTTTTCGGTAAACTGGACCTCTTCAGCTAGCTGTTTTTCTTCAGACAATCTCTCAACTGGACCAAAAATACCACAAATCAAGGGCAGAACAGAAACATCGTTATGAAGATGGAAACGACGATAAGGGTAAGGGTAGGAAAACCTCATCGCCAACATTAATAATTTTCTTACAGGGGACACAACGAGAAATAATCGGATTCAAAATTTCGTTCATTTTTGCAGGGCAAACATTTAAATTCTAACTAAGAAAAAAATCAGTCCAGTCGTACGAATTAAGGTATGTTAATAATTCGGTTAAGCGAGTTGATCGGGAATCGCGAAAAAAGTTATACATTGGGGACAATGTTTGTCGGCCTCGAATTCCAACGTTGAAACAACTATGTCATGGTCTGAGCCCCCGAGTGGGCCTAGGGATGACACTGACGATGGCATGCAGCCTCTACAGAAAATCAGGTCAAGTATGCTTGATCCTCGGGTGGGAAAATCGACAACCCGAGTCCACATTCCAACATGCACAGCCTCAAGAATGTCTTCGAAATTTCTGGGATTTGATGGCGGAGACCAGCGGACTTCGGTGAGATTAAAGTCACCCGCAACCAATTGATACTTAAAGCTTGAGTCGGCCGCAGCATGAAATGCCTGTGAGAGTAAACGATCAAAATTGTCGTTGGCGTTTGGAGGACGATAGACGCAACCAACGAGTAAAGAGAACTTATTTTTTAGGGCAACCTGGAGCCAGCAACTGTCTTCTACTGCGGAAAAATGCGGGAGGTCCAACGGCAAAAATGTAGGTGTTTGCTTAACGTAGACGCAGCTGCCCCCACCACGGCTATCTTGGCGATCATTTCCGATGCAATTATAGCCTAGAAGCGAGAGTTCGGAGTCAGCTACTGAGGCTGATGCCCACGTCTCAGTTACTAAAACAATATCCGGACAATGGACGAACACCAGAGTCTGAAGCAAAGGCATCATATTAAGCAAGGATCTGGCATTTAAAACAAAAAAGTTTGAAGGGAAAGGCTGTTTGTTTTTGAAGGAAGTGAGCTACATCGTCTAGTTCTAAGCTGCCCACGGAGCAAACGGTCCGGATGCAACCATCCGGTTCTGCAAAAAATTTTGTGGCATCAAAAAATTCTGATGTGGATAAAAAGGGGTAGGACTTTGGGGAGGGAATGACGGGCAGGTGAACTGGTAACCATTGTTAGCTAACTTATTTTCATCTGAAAATCCGCGGGGCAGATACCGCAACACATTCCAGCCGGAACGAAACTGAGGATCGGATGAGTTAACTGATCTAGTATAGACATTAGCATGAGGAATACATTGGTAGAACGGCTGTGGAGGAAACAAGTTAGGGGGTGGTGGACGTATTTCTTCCATTGGAGCAAGAGTTCTATTTAACGGCGGGAAAATCGGTTTATTCGGCCTAACTGCCTCGATATGAGGGCTGTGGGACAGTTGGGAACACGCTACGTTTTGAGTCGGGGTATTTGTGGCACTGTTATCCGATTGTGGAGGAAAAGATTTTATAATGGTGCTGGATTTATCGGGTGTCCGAGTGGCTGAGACAGCAATTGGATTTGCCTTTGACTTAGACACATGCTTAGGTTTACTACGGGTTGCTGGGGGAGTCGTGAAAGGCGTGTTTATACCAGGCGTGATGGTGTGTTTAAAGAGCTGAGCATTAAAAGTAGTCGAATTCCCTATGGAATTGACTATGCCGTGATGTGCAGATGCCGCAGATGGTGTTGTAGAGGACTTATTCAGACTGACAGTAGATGTCATTATCTTGGTGTTGGTTTTTGCCAATTTTAATTTATTCAGTCTTCGCTGCAGGGGTGTGAGATCTGGCAAAACGGAGCAGCGCCATTTACGGCAGAATTCTCTTGTTATCTCCCTACTCTACAAGATAAATTCGACTTCTATCATGGAGAATAGGATAACTAGTATCGGTGCATTACGGCTAAGCGAGCGAAGTCGCTTAGCTTGTGCGACGCTGTAACTCAACCCACAACTTTGTAGGAACACATGCGGTCCCTCCATAGCAGATAAGTGGCTCGGAATGTTTCGCAGTATGAAATTATGCTTACGTTTACTTCTTTCCTCAGTTTCCGAACTGATTACCCCAATAAGTTTAAAAGCTTGTTCAATTACTTTTTCAGAAGTGCTGTTTATGTCGCCATAAATCAACTGATCGACTATTTCGCCGGCTGATGGCCTGCTACGACTAGCAGAGGCGTATTTTTGGACGACTGAAGGGTCAAGAGGCTCTATATGTACTAAAGGGATTTGTGAGTTAATCAGATCTGCAGACGGCGAAGAACATACGCTGGCACCTGCAATGTCTTCAGTCACGATTTTAGCACCCAGAGATGGTGGGGAGGCCGCAAGCTTTCGCCTTTTAGCACGTGCTCTGCGGGGCATTACAGACAAAAAAAGTTTTTCGTTACAGAAGAAGGATCAAAGCGTTGCCAACGTACGGAATGGCGCACTGAATAGCAAGTACAATTGTTATTTAACTACGAAAAATAGAAAGAGATAGTAGGGAAAGGAATCACTACAAATATGTTTTTTACAAAATACGACTATTTTGCCAGACTGTCAAACAAAACTGGGAAAAATATTTCCTTATATTGAAAGGTGACTTTTAAAAGGGACTCAAGTAAAAAACAGGCATTGATTGCTTAGGAATATCCAGATAAATGCAAAGTTTCACTTATCTTTGAAACTGAGCCGCGCATCAAATAAATTATTATTATTATTCTTATTATTATTATTATTATTATTATTATTATTATAAATTCAACCGGCCCCAAATGCTGACGGGCTTTGCCGTACGTGAAGAACTTCTCGAAAGCCATCAGTCGTCTTTTCACTCCATTTGGAGTTGACGTTGCAGATAGACCGGAAGCAACCATCAGGCGCCGAGGCATGATGCCGATAAACCCACTGCCACGACAGGAAACGTCAGGAGTCGCTTATCGAATGTGGTGCAGTTGCGGACAAAGCAACCACATCGGAGAAACAGGGAGATTACTCCGTACGCGAACTGACGAGCACGCAACAGCAGTAAGGCGCGGAGGAGCTATCTTTCAGTTGGTGTCTCATTCAACGGGACTCGGCCATATTTTCAAGTTTCAATAGACCGAGGTAAAGGCAAAGCTTCACTTGTCTTCGACATTGGGCTGCGCGCCTTGACTGCGACCCAGGCCGTATTCTATCATTCTTGTCTTTTACCATTTGGTAAGAGGTGGTTTGTGTTAGTAAAGATGTTCGCTTCGCGACAGCTTTGGTAAATGACTGGTAAATCTAACGGGCACAGAAAGTAACTGAAATTTAATGAAGTTAAGAAGCGATTCGCGAAAGAAGTGTTTTCGCATGCCCAGCCCCTTTGAAACGCATGTAGATTTTGTTAAGATGATCGCTATTCGGAACACCATATCATAGGACTCCACAATTATTGTCTATTTAGAAGGATTGTTATGCGCATTCTGAATTCGTGCCGGGCATAACTGTGTTTGGGTACCGAACCTGCCAAACAGATTTTTCTTATCAAGGGAAGATAAGGACACAAACCGTCGCTAACAGACCCCGAAGTTCGGGCAAATGCTGGCATCCAAGCATAAACTATATAACCACTGTTGTCAGACGACTTTTTTCTCTGATTACTCGGGTAATATTTGATTTTTTTGTAACACGATTAAGTCGAGACTAGATGGGGAGATAATGATCGCGGCCATTACCAATATCATTATTATCATCACTACTTTTTAAAACCGGGAATGACAGAAAGCTAACTTGCATATACCCACAGAGAACACTCGCTACGTAGACAGCAAAATGCTGAGGAAATTGTGGGTTCCCAAAAATGCCACACCTTTAATGAGACACTACGATTTTCATTACGAGCCGATAGCTCTAAAGACTGACACCATTGTCCGTGTGGCTGTTTTAATTCGCCAGAATCCGTCCAAGCCAGCGCGGCTTTTGCAAGTTATTCGCAATGGGTCGTCGAGGGTGGGTCTCCTCCAGCGTGCTATATTTCCTGATAGTAGCCTTCATGGTTTCTTGTTATGGTTAACTCTTGTGCGTATATTAGCGTCAGAGCCTGTTTGAAATTCTCGGATGTCCTTTTCAAAAAAATCTTACTGGCAAACAGCTGTTTGCCCTTTGACACTGGTAACGCCACACTCGTCCAAGGCCAGCCCCAATGATTGGTCTGCGGCTAGTTCAATGTCAACCGTTCTCTCAGGCATAACTCGTCCAACAGTTCCTCTTTGCAATTAGCGTCCTACGCAAGACAGAGATTTACGGACCTCAGTTGAACCAGCAACACTGTCCCGCCTGTAAATCCTAGGAGTCACCGTCAACGTCTGTCGTCCTATTCACTGTTACTAAAACCTTGCGTAAGAGTGAATGCTGGTAACTATGGGCATCCATATATGGGAGAGACACGGGACGCTCTTCAAATAGACTCTCCCACTGCTCACTCATCGACGTCGATGTGTCCACCGAAGAGGAAATAGGGGTGTCTGATGACTCTGAGCCTGTGGATGAAACTCTCGGCGAAGATGATGACTTTGGCGGGTACTTCTCCCTCATTATCTCAGCAATTGCACGGATACGGCTTCTAAACTCTCTATCGACACGCCTACGATAAGTTCTCCGACAAATTGGTCTGAACATAAGGAAAAGAAAACGGATAAACTCAATATTATCGGTTAATAGAGAAGGTAAAGCTCAGGACAGCTATGCGTGCGCTCAGCAGCATGGCAAGGCAGGAAGTGACGCCCATGGGCGCCTGCACGGGCGACCACGCCAAACAAGCACGCCGTGCTATCGATAAAAACCGATACCAATATCAGCGTGCGCTCACTCATGCGCGCCCCTGGGAAAAATGCCGATACGGCTGCAGTCAACCAATCAGAGGCCAGTTGCGAGCGAGATGCGAGCAGCGAGTCTCGATTCGCAAGTCATTGCTATTAGGGTAAGAGATCAGTTCTTCCTACCTTTCGACTGTCGCGAGCGATTTGAGGCTATCAGGCTTGTAGTTTGCTTTTCTACATTACCGACAGAACAAAGCAATAGTAAATAAAACCTCGTGTCCAACCTGTGTTCGCCACGTGCTTTCTTGAAAGCGGTTAATTATCCCACCTACTTCGGTTCTTTTTATGGCCGACAGAACGATCCCGTGAGGTGTGGATCTGTTCAAAATTCTGACGTTCGTGTCCTGTTGTCTCTCTGTATCTCATGTCTCGTCATTCGGTCCAGCAGACAAGATCGGACGTATGGAATTTCAGCGAATGAACTATGTTCTATAACTTAAATGTTACCTGCACCACTTTGTGAGCTGCAGAAGCCTGGTTTGTTTAACGACGACCTCGGAAAAGCACTCTGGAGCTGACAGACAATTCCTTAGACTTGGGACTTTACCGCTTACTGGGGGTGTCACTTCCAGGTGTCTTTAAGAAACCTACAACTAAGATATTTCGATGAGTTGTACTTTATACGCTCGCATTTCTGCCTAGCCTAACTGACTCCGCATAGCACCTTTTCAGGTCTGTCGTACTCCATTCTCCGCCTATGAAGGCCAAGTATTGGAGACCGAAAAACCATTGCTATACCCTGGGAAGCCTTGTCGAGCTCTTGCTAGCCTCCTTTTCCCCTGCTGGCATCATCGACTGACTTTCACCACGTCCCAATTAAGACCGCGTGACCAAGCCTGTGCATAGTCGCAAACCATGTGGGACGACCACCTACATGTGGTGTACGCTATGTGCTGGTTTCCTCCACTTTCATTGCTAACGGTTGGAAACCACCCCTTCGAAGTGTTTGCTTATGGGACTGTAGTTGCTTTGCGTATCTCTCGGCATTTGGACGTCAGACTATCCAGCGTTTCTTTTTTGCCGAGATCTGCTGTCGATACACCCCCTTGGATTTAGTGATGTCTGCCAGGGTTGCATCAACTAGCGATGGCAGACCTCCAGAGATGTAGAGTACGATCAGGTCTGCCTTTATAATTTACCCGTTCCAGTTTCAAGATCGCTCCTCTAATCCAATTTATCTTTAATACATTGATTGTAAGAGGCTACGAAAGTCTCCCATCGTCATTCCAATCATCCGCCTGAAGCGTTGTAGCATAGCCTGAGACTACTACTGCGCAGTCTTGACTCATCCCTGCATTCATGTTACACAGAGAACAGACATTTTTTCCAGCTCCTTATTTACTTTGTCATGGGGTGAGGGCGTCGTAAGGTTCGTCAGGGTTGTAACGATGACTTTTATGTAGATGCTCAGCAGACGTCGGGCCCTAAGACCTAGTCCTTATTAGGGATATAGAGCCCAATTTCGATCGAAAGTTGTCTGTGCTGTTGAACTGAATAATTCGCATCGTTTACCGTTTTGCCTACGCCGTTGAGAGCGGTATGTCTGCTTCAGGCCCTCAAACTTAATTCCCAGCTAGGTAAAAATGCCTTTCTCCTCGTTTCCAGCGAGTTGCTGCCCACTGAACGCAATACCCTCCCCCCATTATCGTGTAGTCCTATTTCATACTTGATTGCATTCACCGCTCATTGGCAGAGGATATTTCTGACTGTGTTTTAGGTCACCCAGTCGTCCGGCTGCGCGTCCTATGCCGATGCGGTCTCCACCGCCTCCGCCGCCGCCTCAGCCTGCTCCAATGCAGCCACAGCAGCCGAGTCTCTTTAAGCAGATGGCTGCTACAGCAGGAGGTGTGGCAGTGGGGTCTGCCGTCGGTCACGCTGTGGGACATGCTCTAACCGGCAGCAGCGGTTCACAGCCAGAAACCGTTTATGCCCAGCAGCCAGCTGCCAACCCAGCACAAAATCCCTGCCAGTATCAAATCGATGAGCTCGTTCGCTGTTCGGTGAACCAGTCGGATATCAACCTCTGTAGTGGATTTGCTGAGGCACTCAAAGAGTGCAGGAGAAGCTACAACATCTATTAGGCCCGCATGTTCTCCCGCAAACGTGCTTTCTGTTTGGATCTGTGCCTAGTCTCAGGACTTTATTCCACTGTAGTTTGGTCCGCAGAAGTGCTCATATTTTTATCTTTTGTTTTAAATCTTCTTACTTTTAATCAGTATACGTGCCGGGTCATTGGGCGATTAAATATTGGACTATTCGCATTGCGTGCCTTCACGTCATCCTAATCTCATTTTCAATAATTAGTCGCAACATCATATACTGGCTGCGCCCATATATCCTTGGTTCAGGAGGCATTGTATGCATGACTCGCACGAAGTCCTGATGTTTGGAAAATTATACAATTCCTGTGCACTGTATGCCAAGGCTCATGAAATATCTGTTAGAATTCCCCCATATGTCCCCAGTTAGGGAATAGTACAATAGGTTTCCAGTAATTGGTAGTTCAGAGAAAGGCGGTTCGGCCACTGAGGTTAGAATTACTTGCGTGGGCCCCGGGACCGCCTTTCTTTAAGTTCGTTTCAACTGTCATGAAGACTTTCGTAAGGCCAGTTCTCCAAAATACCTGACCCAGCTCTTAAAGTGATTCAGAACACCCGGGAATATTGGCCTGAATGTTCAAGCAGATGCTCGAAACGGCCTAAAGTATCATTTGTTTGCAAACCAGTCTTCTCTCTATTTAAATACAGAATTTAGGACGTGGTTCCCTGGGAGACGGCCTAACGTGAACCCCTTGTCCTATGTAAAGCAGTCGATGATATAGTCACCAGGAGAAAACGAACCAGATAATTTACCTAAGTATTTGCGTTCCTCTACTCGAAGGAATATTTAACTATCCAGTCATCGCTCCGGGCACCAAAATGAAGACTAAAGGTGAAAATGCCAACCAGTTGGGTCTCTGTCCGCGTGAGTGCGTTTGTATCATGAAGCGGTGGCTTTAGTTGCGAGTACAAACGACGTTTACACCGTACGCCTCTGCCCGTTATAGGCTGGAGCTCGGACCTATTTGTCCATGGTCACTACCCGACATTTTTTTCTTGAGGGACGCCTTGGATAAAGAAACGTCGCAGACCAACCTAAATGGTGAAATTCCTGCTAGACAGGTTTGTGTCACGTATCCTTCATGCAGTACGGGTGCCCAGTTGCTGCTGTATCTAGTCGTGACGGTGGACGTTATTGTGGATCCTGCGACAGCTGCCGGGATCTTTCATGATTCCTCACCGACATTACTCCCACGGCGTCGTTTTCGTTGGACTGATAGGCGCATCATGCAGTAGGTCGAGACTCATGCCGCAAGATCCTGAAGGCTTACGTTCCCGCGCGCCAGGTCACTCGAAGCTCAGATCCGAGGTTGAGTAGGCCGCTGTCAATAGTGCAAGTGTCGCGCCACACATCCGGCCAGGGACAGGAAGTCCTCTGCGTTTGGAGTCTGTCACTGTTCATTTAGACCGTCTACAAATTTAATCGGTCCACTTTCCCCAACTGGTGCCGTAGTGAACAGACAACCCGGAAATCGCCCGTGCGTCCCTACCAAGTTATTTTATTCCTGACTCACTTGCCGACTTCTGAATACGCGGAGGGGCTCTTGCCATCAGTCTCCTCGCACGAACCACTTTTGTATGTGTAGCTTCCCAAAACTGCCGAGTTCTGTCGCCCGACTACAAATACCTATAGCGGGAATCATAGGTCTCAACGCTGCCTTTTCCCGAAACGGGGCTCCGTGCAAAAAGGACAGTGATTGATTGTGACTTTGCAGTCGCCTTGACCTAACAGCCACCTCAGCATCCACCGTGGGTTTGGCCGTATTTTCCAAAGTGCAAACAGTTATTTTCTTAGGATATCTTATACTTCGTACGGCTGCGATGCCTGATCTAACCGGCCTCGATGATGTCCCGAACTGTACCTCTCCACGAGTGACGATCCACGGCAGCAGATCTGGACAGTTCAACCTGTCCTTTGGGCCAACGACGGAGACTGAATGCCGAAGGTTCAAGAACCATCTCCATGTCTTGAGCTGTCGGGCCTGGTTTTGTGTTGGCCCCCTCTTCGACGCCTCCAATGGGGTAACGGTGCCGGGTCGAGGGCAGTAATACTGGGCTCCCGAGGTGGATTACGAAGGACGTGCCCAAACCACCTCAGTCGTGTTTCTTGGATGGTCTGAGATATCCTTGCGGTGTTGTCGCAGCGAGTGTGGACTGTTTCATTTGAGACGAAATCGGTGTACATCACTCGAAGGATGATCCTCAAGCAGCGGTGGCCAAATACATCCAGTTTTCGCTCGTCCTCCACGCGCACAGCCCAGCATCCACAGCGATAGAAAAGGACAGACCGGACAGATGCACGATACACGCGAATCTTAGTGGCGATGGAGATGTCGCGTCGAATCAGTAAGCATTTTCTAAGGCTTGAGAAAACCCGGCGGGCAGCATCAATTCGGGAGACAATGTCGTCCTTACTCTGTCCATTCGGCAGCGGCCTCGCCCCGAGGTATTTAAAACTACTTTTTCAAGTTGACTGCCATCAATCCCAAGAGGTGCCTTCCCTTGGCCAGGGATGCAGCCCAAAAGCGCTTTAGTCTTCCCAGCGTTTATTGATAAACCAACCGATTTGGCCACTCCGTCCACCCGTGATACTATAGACTGCAGATCACCAAAACGAAGCAAGGCAACATCACCGGCATAATCGAGGTCAGCTGGTCGGTGTCCGGACGCAAACTCGGCACTCACCTCCGTGTAGGGGCTTCCTGAGAATCCAGTCAATAGTGTAGTTGAACAGAATAGGCGACAGGATACAACCCTGTCGAATGCCAGACCGAATAACTAACGATTGGGAAAGATTGTTGCGGACCAGAACTCTTGCAGTAGTGGAGCGATAATATGCTTCGATCATGGCGATTATTTTTGCCGGTTCACCATCTAGCGCCATTATCCGCCACAGGGACTCGCGGTGAACGGAATCAAACGCGGGGGAAAAGTCAATGAAGCAGACGGCCGTCGGTTGTTGGTAGCTATGTCGAAATTCGATAATGCGCCTCAGTGTGAATATCTGGTCTGCGCACCCATGTCCAGCACGAAATCCGGTTCGGTTGGACCTCGCCCTAGAGCTACGCACAGCCAGGAATCGCCGGAGTAGGACAATAGCGAAGATCTTCGCAGCAACGTCGATGAGGCTTGTGCCGTGGTAGTTCTCGCACCTTGTCTTATCTCCCTGAGGATAGGTACAAGGATGCCTGAGTCCCAGTCATCAGGGGCAACCTCGTCTCTCCACGCTTGTTCGGTCACCCCATAGAGCCAGGGCGTCAGAGTGTCGACACAAGCCTTGTAGATTTCAGTGGGTATGCCGTCCTCTCCGGGTGCCTTGTTGTTGCGTGACTTCCGTGTGGCATCGCGACTTCTCCCTCAGAAGGGGGTCGCATGACACTGCATAGGTAGGAGAGGGAAGAAACTCCGCTGAGAAGGAGAACAAGGGCGATGTAGGTTGGGTATCGAAGTTGAGATGGTGCTCAAAGTGCTCACGCCAGCGCTCGACATTGGACGAGTTGTCAGCAATAAAGCCGCCGTTCACATCGCGAACAGAGTCACTCAGTGTAGAGGGCTTACCGCTAACTTGGCGGATAAGTTGGTAGGATGTTCGAGTACCAGCAACGTCGAAGGCCTGTTCCACTGAGGTCGCTTTTTCAACCCATCATTGCTTCCGGTCATCCGTGGCCAACTCTGCCGTCATCTTCCGAGGTTGGCGGAGGGAATCATCATCACGGGACCTGACTCGAGCCGTCTGAGCAGACGACTGCAGGGCTCTTCCGCTGATTCAGTCACTGCGGCGGCGGCGTCGTCGGGGGTATCCAAGGATTTTATCAGCTGCCCCATGGACTGACTTTTTCAACGACGACTGGTTTCTATCTTCCCCGTCGGCTCGGGTCGTAATACAGGACTGGATTTCTCTGCTCAGGGCCTCGGCAGTGTTGGTTTGCCGGATTTTTGCGACATCGAAGGGTCTAGGACGTGGCATTTTTGGCGCGGATGAGAGGTGAACTTTCAAACGTGTATGAACTAATAAATGATCCGACCCATGGGTATTACCAGTCTCGGCACCACGCATCGATCTGCTATCGTGGACCCAGCTGCGTAACCTTGAGCTGACTAGAATTTAGTCAATTCGACTGGCCATATGCCCCCCACTTGAATACCAGGTCAGGAGGTGTTTGTTGTAATGCTGGAGGCACGTGTTGGTGACAAGCAGTCGGTTATGAATAGCGAAGTTCAGCAATCTCGCCATTTTCACATCGGGAATCAAGCCTAAAGCGGCCAATAAGATGACTGTAGAGTCCCCAGGTCCACTCCGACCATCCCAGTCCTCGGCGACAATCAGCAGATCGCGGCGAGGGAGTCTTTCAACTAACACTTGCAGCTGCGAACAAGACGCCTCTCAATCGCGCTGTTCGACGGCTCGAGTAGGCGCGCACACAGAGGCAGTAGAGGGGTTCGTGAAGTGATCTTCCAGTTTCACGTAAGACATCCAGTCATTGGTTCCCAAACAAGTGACGCTAGGTCCGCTTGTTGCGAGAGTGTGATCACCACCGTGTCTGCTAGAAGAGTTGCGTGGCCGCTGTGATACAGGGTGAAGCGTGATTCGATTTTAGGAATCTTTGTTTCCCGAGAGCCTGAGTCAGGAATTCGAACTTCAGACAGGCAACAGACATCCACCTTATGCTGATTAAGGCTGCTATCTCTAAAAAAAGAGCCGTGCAACGGTCACAACGCGTCGGTATAGAAGTGTTTGACACAGCACTGTACGGAGACGATCGTGAATGTCATCGTCGAACACCAACAGGCTTTCGACCTGTTCTGTTGCTATGATTTTACCTCAATTGAGGGGGTGGTTCAAGACACCTGCAGATTGGCTGCAGTGTGCTGCTAGACTCAGTACCTGCTTGCAATCAACGTTATTGATCTGAAGGATGTTGGCAATATGCGATATAAGAGCGCCGACGGAGGACCTTGCCCAAGATAAAGCCGGTAAGATG